AGAAAACCTAGACACCGTCGACCATATGATCATTGTCCAATTTACGACCAAGATAGACTTATAGACTTATTCTGAAATTAGAAAACTTTACGCTTGGTTTCAGGTGGCCACGTCCACTCAATAAGCTTGTTGAGAAGCCACTATTTGATGTTTTTTACAATTATGTTCAAAAAATATAAAAGAAAAGACTATTTATAATTTCTAGTTTTACATTTTAGTTTTCGCAAAAGCCGAATACTAATTTTATGTTTATTTTGTATCATGTATTTTGATTTATGTATTCTTAGTATTATACACATGTAGGAGTGGTGCACTTATTCTAATAATAATAATAATAATAAAAAAAAAAATCCACCACACCGCCTTTCTCCCATGATAAAAATGTGTAGAACGTGAATATGCTAGCATTATTATTCTATCATGTCACATGATATGACGTTAGTACGAGTCTTCTTAATAGAAACTGCCAAACTGAAGCCAAATTCAAAACTCCATAACTCAATGAGATCAAAAAATAAAAATAAGAATATTACGTGAGACGAGATTTATTACCCCCTACCCCTGAATAAGAAATCATAAGAAATCCTTGACCGCACCCACTCCAAAATACCTTATATAATTTATGGACAGCCCCTTATACATTTTTGTAATATAAAGTGTGTTTATTACCCATTACAGTATTATGTTTAATAGTAATTCTCCTTTCATGCCATTAGAAAGGTGTGATCAAGTGTTTATAAAAAGAAATTCTTTTCAGTTTAGATCATCATAAATATGAAAAGTGTGAAAAAACACCAGTCTTGTAAAAATCTTAGAAGATCAATGTTTATCAAACCGTAGTAAAATATTATATTACATAGCATTGTGCAACAATCATAAATGCAATAGGACAGTGTTTTTCAACCAGGGTGCCATGGAGCCACAATTGGGGTGTCGCAAAGTTTAGGGCCTTTAGGCATTTTCTTGGAAATTTACTTAAGTATAGTTCAAGATAACTCATTGTCAGTTCTATTTTTCTACGTGATATCTAGTAAGCAAAGAAACTATGACTAATCACATGTTAATGTAACGTTCTATGCTACATGTACACATGACTTGTCACGAGTTTGCTCAAACCACATTGCTTGGCCTTCACATTCCCAGTCCCAGTACCGGGCCAGCCAGCAGAGAAGAATGACGTGGACACTTGTGTCTTGTATATACTTTAAAAAGCATTACATTGTTCTTTGAAAAGAGTGTGGTTTCAATCACAAAGTAGGTGCATATTACAGTATTTTCATAGGGTATTCAAAAGCAATGATGACAAATAAACAATTTTTTATCATTTTTTTAATTTAAATTTTTTAAATTGATATGAAAAAGATAAGAAAAAAGTAATGAAATAATTATTTTATATATGCATCAAAATAGTATAAAAAAACTTAACAAAAATTGTTCATCAATAAAATGATGATATATTTGACAATAAAACTAGATTTAAAAAACAATAGCGAGACTATTATTTTACATGTAGGTATTTCGACAAAATTCAATGGACTTAAATTTTGATTTTGAACACGCAGAAATGCTTTTTTTTTGCATTAAAATGCTACTTCAAACTGTCAATTTTTTAAATTTTTCTGGGGTCGGGTGGGGTTGGGGAGGAGACTCCCTACCTGACCCCATCCCAGCATTGTGCATAATATTTGTTTTCACAAAAAAATTCACCTGGCCCATTAGTCCCCCCCTTATTCAGATTCTAGATCCACTGTTGGTCAAGGGTGTCACGATTTTTTATTTTTCAATCAGGGGTGTCACTCAATGAAAAAGGTTGAAAAACACTGCAGGATGTTATTTGTGAAGAAAACTGTCAAGCAGGTACAAATGTGTTTATGTATTTGTGGTTTAACTTAAGAAAAACTGAAAAATCTTGGAAAAAACTGTCCTAAAATATGCTTTATAATTATATAATATAATAAAAATAAAAAAACTATCCTTCATAATAATCTAATATAATTTTGGTGGATTATTAAAAGTTTCAATATATTTTATTTAATCTAGAAAGGTAATAGTATAAAACTATTATAAATCAAATTAAAAATTTCCCTTTATTATTACTGAAACTATTTTGATAAATAATCCTATAAAGTTTGAATATATTTATGTAATATTAAATTATATTTTAAAAGAGAATTAAAAAAAAATCAAATTTTTTAAATTATACAAATAAAATAAATTTAACAATAAATAACAAAACTTTTGCAACTACCTTCTTCTTTCCGCTGTTGATTTCATTCACAATATGAAGAGAGTCCGAGAGGAGACGAACTTTCTCGGGAGCAGAGAGAGCAATAATTCCTTTCCTGTGCCTCTTGGCTTCGCCTCGTGTCAATGATAATGTTTCGGACTTGTGAGTGGCTTTGTCAGGAGATAGTATAGGAGATAATACTTCTGGCGAGCTTTCATTTTCTTCCTGAGGATGGCAATTATTTATTGGTTCCTTCTCAGTTGTACTATTTCCCAATGCTCTTAAAGATGCTGCACTGTTGGAATGAAGTCTGCAAAAAAATTACTTTGGATAAAAAAAATACATATACACTGTTTTATTTAAAATCTTACTAACCTTTCAATGCTTCTTAATTTTTGAGAAATATCAGGACTCTCTACATGAGGTTGCTGAACTGAAAAAATTATTGACTTTTATCATCATAATCACTTATAACTTAAAATCATAATTTAAGCTTAATGAAATAAATATTTTAAAATAAATAGCTTCCAGAAGACTAACAATATTTAACATCATCATCATTAAAAATAATACTTTACTTCATTATTTTGAACAGAAAAATTAATTTAGTTAAAATGCACATTTTATAGAATGATATTACAGTATGCTAATCCAAACAGCTTCTATCATTCCCCTAACAAAAATAATAGACTTGCCAACTATATACTTACAGTACACATGTAGACGTAAGTCTTATGTTGTAAACGTTGTTGCTCATTCTTTTTGTGAACTTGTTTGACCTAACAATTCTAATGTCTATTTACTGCTGTAAAGTATCTTACAACAGTAAAAATTGGCCTCAAAGCATAAGCATCATATTATTATCATCATATCTCTGGTCTCAATTATTGGGTTGTTCGGAAAGTAAGTTCGTTTTTTTTATCATTAGACGGATTAGTCGTATTTTTCCCGCCATTTTCGTTCTAAACCATATTATCATTATATATTTTGACAGCTAGCATTTTATGGCTTATTTGTAGAAAATTTTGTTTGATTTCGTGCAATTGTTTATTTTTTGTGTCCCATCAAATATGGAAGATCAAAAGCAGCATCATTGGCATATTTTGCTTTTTTATTACCAAAAAAATAAAAATGCCGTTCAAGCAAGAAAAAAATCGTGTGACATGTATGGTGGAGATGTGTTGACAGAACGACAGTGCCAAAACTGGTTTACAAAATTTCGTTCTCGCAATTTCAGTATTGAAGATGCACCACGTTATGGATGGCCAATTGAAGCCAATGAAAACAAAATAAAAGGTACCGATTGAAGCAAACTGCCGAATAACAACACGGGGAATCACTAAGAGATTAAATTTGTCAAATTGAACTGTTTATGATTACTTGAAACAAATTGGTTTCGTTTGAAAGCTCGATATATGATTTCCACGTGTTCTTAAGGAGAAATGCTATCTTCAGTGGAATTTAAAAAAAAAAATTTTTTTTGGAGCTATTACCAGACAATTTAACAATTTATTCGAAAATGTACTGCCATCGAATAAACAAATTGAGTAATATCATTTAAGCAGAAAAGGTGGCCAGAATTGATCAACAAAACAGGTGTAGTGTTTTACCATGATAATGTCAAATTTCACACAAGTTTGTTAACTCGTCAGAAACTGTTATAACTTAGATGGGACGTGCTATGGCACCAACCATACTCTCCAGATCAAGCACACTCAGATTATTACTTGTTCTGGTCTATACAACTTTTTTTAACTGTAAGACATTTACTTGAAATGACAATGTCAAAAATCACTTGGATCGGTTTTTTGTAAGCAACGATCAAAACTTTTATGAATGTGAAATCGTGCTACTACCAGAAACGATGACAACAGGTATTTGACCAAAATGGTCAACATATAATTCAATAAAATATTTATTTATTATAAGAATATTGCGTTTTTTTCCGTGGAAAAAAACGAACTTACTTTCCAAACAACCCAATAGTTTGGATTAGTGCAATAGTATTGTAATTTTAAAATTTGTCTAACAAGATTTTATAGACAATTCCACAAATTTCTAGGCTCTATATAGATGATAATTTATATACCATATTACCAAAGCTAAGCACTTAATTTTGCATCTTTAATTAGGTATAGACAAGTCAAATCCTAAGTCATCCATGTTTAATAATGCAGAATTATATTTTTTGCACTATTAATGTTGTCCAATCCATTGCTATCAAATATTAAAAACAGACTATTTTATTGCAATTTAATCATTTTATATTAAATATTTGTGCATTATTTAATGTAAATTTTTAAGACATTGCCAATTATAGTACATTTTGGACTGGGGAAATATTAAAAAGTTAATATTTATTTTATGAGTTGATGGGTGACAAGAATAAATCTCTTGTCTCATATCATAAAGTACTCAGCAAATCACTATACATATATCTANCGTGTGCCGGGCTGTGAACGGCGCACGTATTTGTAAAATCTAAGTGACTCGTACAATACGAAATTCATATAACACGGAATTATCAACAGTGTTATAGGGGGGTCTACCGTATTTCCCAGAATAAAAATGGAGCCGATGACACGGCGTTATATAATGTCGTGTGGCATTTTTGTTTTTTATAACCTCAAATTTCAGGAATTTCAAAGAAATTATAACGGTTTAAACACATCTTATAGTTTTCTATACACGTTATGTTCTATTCCATAATGAACACGAACGTATTTTCCTTCGTGTATTGTAGTGGATTAATTGAACATTGGCTCTATTCTTATTCTGGGGTAGGTTATAATTGTGATAATTTAAATTTTTATAATTAATTAACAAAAAATATTAAAATGTGTGTAAATTTTCTTTTTAAATTTCAGAATAAGAAAATTATTACATTATTATTATTTATATGAAGAAAATAATGAAAAAAGAGAAAACGAGTGAAAATTCATTATTAGAAACAAACAATTTTCTATTTATTTAGTGCCATGCAAAGAGTAAAACTGATCGTTCTCGGAGCGGCTGCTGTTGGGAAAACATCCATCATTAATCAATTTGTATGGAACGAATATACAGAAGACTATTCTCCAACAGAGATGAAGCAAACATTCTATCCTACAGTATACATAAACGAGCATTTATACGAATTAATGATCATAGATCTACCCGTCATCTCCTACTTTCCATCAAATACATATTACGAATGGAGTGAATTCCAGTCGTGGGGATTGAGAAGCGCTTCGGCTTATGTTTTAGTTTTTGATCTAAACGTTCCCGAAACGTTTCAGTACGTTAAATTTATACGCGATCAAATATTCGATAGCCGAAATATGCATAATATTCCAGTTTTTGTAGTGGGCAATAAGCACGATCTGTGCGAAACCCGCGATAGAAGAGACATTGCCACTTTGGTGAAGAAGCACTGGAAGTGTGGTTACGTCGAATGTTCTGCAAAATATAATTGGCATATTGTACTTTTATTTAAAGAAGTAATGAGAATTCTCGATAATTTGGATTCGACATACAAACCTTCGAGTGGTGCCAGCCGGTTTGATGGCCTTCAAGGTTCTCTTCATAACAACAAGTGCATCATCTTGTGATGTTGGATTGTTCGATACGTGTTCCGCTCAATTATAAAATTAAATATGTTCAGAAAAGCCAATATATTATATATTTAGAAGTTTATACTTAATGTTATAGACATCTAGGATGTTAAAAAACATACGTATTTTCGTTTACATTACGTAGTTAATGTGCCAAATTACGTTACGCTGATGCATTCGACTTCCAAAAAAAACACAGAAGAAATTGTTTTCCTTTCGACTAATTCTTGCTTCTTCGAGCTACGAGAATTACACGAAAGGTCGAAACAATGCTCTAATTTTGTATAATTAAATATTTCTATCGGCTGTATAATGTTATACTCATTGTTGCAGGATATCAAATTTTTATTTTCTAATTTTAATACTATATATATGTACATATATCTATATATTATATTAATATAATGTTAAAAATGTGCCATTTTTACCATATATTACATTATTTATTTTTATGGTCATGTTATTTTTATGATCGTTATATAAAATTGAACATTTTTTAGGAGTAAATATTAATATTCCTTCAAATATTCCAATTCTACGAAGCTAAGACAATGGTCAGTTTAACATTCTTCGCATATTTTAGACTAATGAAAACACTTGGTATAAATGTTGTTAACATTTCTTTCCACGTATTAAATATAAAATTAAATTATTATTTTGTTATAATTATATAAAAGTATTAGAAATCATTCTAGATTACAAGAAGAAAATCTCAGTTTGATAAGAAAAATGTAATTTAAATCAATTCGATGTACGTTTATCATGTGCCAATGTCAGTAACGATATGATATTCGCTCGATAGATCTTTCAATTTAATGATTTCGAAGAATTAAATTTGGAAAAAAAATTAAATAAATCATTGCGAATCTTTTAATCAAGCAATACAATTAATAAAAGTCAAATCTCGAATCATCTCAGCTCTATTTTTTATAATTTATCGTGCGTGAAAGTACACGCATCGTAAATTACACACCTACAAAATAAGGAATTGAAATTACTAAATTAATTTTAAATAGTAACTAGGTAAATACTTGTTGCTCCGGATATCCGGGTTCGAGTTCCGGTCGCCTCAGAAATTTCCGGATACGTAGTCCGCTGATTCGCCTACAGAGCCTAGTATTTAGGCACTCGTCTTTCACCACCACGTTCAATTTCACTCGCGGGAAGGATTGGATCGGTTTGGATTAACGAGATAAGACAATGTAACACGAGCGATCTGCCTCCCGGGGAGGGAACTCGTCCCTGTAGGTGTTAGACATAAAAAAACACCGTAACACTCAAGCAAAAATCATCGACTAATTACCCCCATCGGTAGTTTTTATCCAATCGGTCACTGGTGGGTCTATCGTAGCGGGAATAACAGGATTATTTAGCCTGGCTCACATTCACGGGGGCCTCGAAACTGTTATAAATTTTCCCTATGGGATGGACGAAAAAGGATCGATACCGGAGTAAGAAAAAACTGGCTCTCAGAAATACATAAAAAAGGTAAGTGACCCAGGGCCTGTGTCGATCTCTGCCGGGTCCCGTTTATCGCTCGATCGTCCCATTTGGGGCCTTGCCAAATCGATAACAATCACGAAAAGGCTTTTGTTTTCTGCTTGCGTGAAGGAAATAATTTCCAAAAAATTAACGCCACACAATATTAATTATAAATCGATTTTATTGTACAAATTTCGTTTAAATAAGTTATTTTCTTTGATCAAATTATAAATTCTACATTTAATTAACATATAACTATCGATTTTAACAAATGTATACGATTAACTTAATTATAAATGAATTGATTTGCATACGAATGGATTCATTCGACGTGGGTAAAAATGAATTTTTCAAAGAGGAAATTAAAGATTTTAATCCGTTTTGATTTTAAAATTAAATTCATTTTATCAAACGAAAGTATTTTTAGTTATTTAAATAAAATGTATTTTATAATATTTGAATTTATTCAATTCCACTCAATTGAAAGTTTTAATATTTAAAAAATACTTTTATCTTATCGTAGTAATATTTTTATTTTCTCTAATCTCTTTTAGATTACTTGCGTGTTTCTTCTTTAATTTCTTATACACTAAATGAATTTTCATACACTAGTCGCCAGCACACAACGAACAATCTCGAGGGTTGGATCGCTCGGAATGGATTGGATTGATGCGATGGACACGGGGTAGATCTGCCAAGGAAGAAGTGCCTCCTGGGAGGACTTTCACCGGGGACTGACCATTATTTAGGTGTTAACGTGTGAAGAAAATCCGAAAAACTCCACCAACTCGCTACCAACTATCAATGTTCAGTGTTTTTATCTACTCGGTCACTAGTGTCTACGTTACAAGGAGGCGGCGTTAGAAACGAATGAAAATGTATTAATACGAACGTAATGACAATGGTTATAATAGCGTAGCGAATGTAGAACAAAAGATACAATTTAAAGAAATCTTTAGTCTGGATACTCGCTTCCATACCATCGGGAATGGAGGCATACCGACACCATACGCTATTCCGCGACAGATTTTCTCATAAATGTCGCAAATGCCTGTCTAGATCTCTCACACTGGTAGGCGGACGAACTGGAGCCCCATTTGGTCCCACAAATAGACAGCAAACCGAGAGATCAAAGAAATGTAGCAATGTGGCCGAGATATCCTCGGAAATCCTATCTGTACGCGGATGAGCTTTATCTGTTAGAAAATGACCGTGTCATCAAAGACAACACGCGAGGACGTAGGATTTCCCGAAGGTATTAACGCCATACCTTCGATCCCCCTCGTATCAAAATGACCGACTGTCATAAGAAATGGCTTGGAGGACTAGCGGGTCAGCGGTGAAAGCGGTGTGCCACTCGACAGTAGACCGAACAGTTGTCCTTCGCACTTTAATACGGTGATCGTCCCGGATTCGTCGCTAAAGAAAATACACCGCTTCTCTGTTACGACACCATTGGAAAAGAAGCAATAAATTTGATAAATTAATTAAAATATTTTATAGTAAATATTAAAATAAAAAAATAATTTTTATATTTAATCAAAAAAGCAATATTTGTTTATTTAAGCAATAAATTGATTTATTAAATTCGAGTAATAAATGCACTCGTGTAATAATTTTCATGATCGATATTATTAAATTCTATTTTTATAAAGAAAGTTTTTTAAATAAATTGAATCGGAAATTTAATTTAATTTTTTTTTTTTTTCTAAATTCTATTTTCTAATCAATATTTTGAAATTTTATCCTTTCGTCTACGGTGAAGGGAAAGCGTAAATAAATTTTAAATCAGTTAATATATTTATAATTAATTAACTTACAGTTAATTTCTACCTTTATTTGATTTTTAGGGTAATTAGATTTTAATTTTTTATTAATTTTTTTCAATAATTATAAGCCGGATGATGTTAATTAAACGGGACGGTTCAATTAATTCTTAATTGTGAATTATTAATAGGAAAATATAGATTATTATAAGGAATATTCAGTTTTTGTGCTAAAACATGACACGCCAAGGTGTTGCCTCCGAGGACACGCGAAGAAAGCCCAGAGAATTCTATTCAGCCAGTCCACTGATCAGGTTCGCGCCACAGTTCGCGTGGGTTTTGAAAATTACAGCCCAATAAAAACCCGTGTCGTCCGTCCTTCCTTAATTTCGAGAACAGACGGTAAGTATAATTATATGAATACTTTAACGTATCAATAATTGAATTGTATTCGTGGAATAAAGCAATGCGACACACGCGATCTGCCAAAGAGAGATGCCTTCTGGGAGAACTTTCTACGGGAATCTAGCCCAAATTTGGATGCCAGATATGTGAAAAAAAATCCGGAGAAATACATTGGCAAATCCGCGACTAATGTATTGTACTGTATTTCTTTTCGTGAGAGTGAACACGACGGGTAAAAACTGTCATCGTTATTACTTGGAAAATCTTTAAAGCCGCGACGTTTCTTTAATGCCGAGACATTGCCTATACAATATGCAGCAAATAAGAAATCATACACATCCGCACGATTGCCGAAAACAGAAAATTTATTCTTTTAAACGCCAACTGTAGTGCCTATTTGAACCGCTATTGTTTGCAGAATGGGAATCGTCAATTTGTACCACCAAATATAACTTCTAGATTGCAACATTTAAATATATGTCGCATTCCCTCTTTTAAGTATGCTAAATTTCATCAAAATAGATCATTCAGTACGCACGATAATAGATAGAAATATCGTTTTGATGTAAGAACACGATAAAACGAAGATCAAAATCTACAATCTCTTGTCTGAATAAAATGTATTCACGTTATAGCAGTCTGTTACGTGACATACATAATAGCCGTTTCGGCCATATTTTATAGAAAATGATCAATTTCTTTGGCATTTTCTTAGTAGTGTGGTTTATGTCAGTCAGACATCGCTATATAGTTTGTACCAGGGCACGCTAATACAAAATGTACGGCAATGTCCGCTTGTTTAGTTAAGTTACGGCAACTCGATACTCGGGCGATCTGCCTGGGGGATGCCTTTTTTAAGGGTAACTGGCCCGTATTCGGGCGTTACAGAGGTGGAGAAAACCCAGAAAACTCCATGTGGTCAGCCCGTCCTGGCGAGGCGCGAATCCACTACCGAATTCTCGGTGTTCGGGGAACGGAACCTCTCGACCACTGGTGGGCCGGCGATGTCCGTAACGTTCAGATTGCATTTACATCTAAACTATAGAATTTTGTTAAAATACAAAAACGTTCGGTAAATAACATTGATTTCTTAGATGCCCGATTAAAGAATCTCTACTGCACTGTATATTGTAATTGCTTATTATTTTTATTAAAAAATGAGGTATAGTATACACCAGACATGAAAAAATATGATTATTCACAAAAATAAATACAAGAAATTATCTTAATTTTCAAATTATACTATAGTTTTAAATGTAATGATTATGAAATTATGGCGCGCATATAATTCAATCACAGTTTTTTTTTTTAAATTCTTTCCTCACTTAGTTTGAAATCAATTCCCTCGCCATTCTTAACTATTCTTCCTTTTACAGAAGTCGTGAACGTATATTTGAAGTATAAAAGAAACTTTTATATCATAATGTCACGTCACATTACGTATTAATGTCATAGACGTTAGCTCATCGTGGCTACGGCAGTGAAAGCGTCTGCCTACCGCTCTTAGAAACTGGCGATCAAATCTTTGATCAAAAAGCCTCAGCAATTTTTTGAAGTGATCCATCTCGAATACGTCGAGTCCTATCCCTCATTATCCGGCCCCGCGACGGGCACGAAAAGAGATCCTTCGCGCCCACGGGGCAAAAGAGTAGAAAGCAAATTGTCTTTTATGCCCATCAGTTGATGATCTGATAAAAACACTAAACCATAGGCATAAACCCTGATAAATAGCTACCAGGTGTTTTCGGGATTTCTTCGCC